CATGTGCGTTTAGAATTGTCCGGTTTGGTTTGCCAACTGTGTCACAGCTATGGAGACAGTCCCCGAGTGTTACTGTCTGACTGTGTGTGTATGCGTGTGTGCGTGTGTGTGTGGGCGTGCGTGCGTGTTTGCTTTCGTGTGTGCGGGCGTGCGTGCATGTCTGTGCGTGTCTCTGTGTGTCCCTGCATGCGTGCGTACGTGCGTGTGTACATGAGTGTGTGTTTTAGTTTTCCGAGTCGTATATTGTGACACGGCTTGGTGAGTGTAGGCGTGACTGAACAGAGCTATGCTTTCATCTGGTCGTGATAGATAACCTACTGCCAACCGGCGAGGAGGCAGCCACGCGGCAAATTCCGCCTTAAACAGAGAAGTCGCATGTTGCCGAACCTAGCTGACTTGCAGCGCCATCTACACGTACAAATTCGATAATACTGAATCTAAACATGGCAATTTCCCTTTAAAATGAATTGCTCGCATGTTAGCCGAAAAAAAGTGAATCAAAATTAGATGCTGTGAGTTTTACAGTAAACGTATTTTTGCAAAATGTACACACACGCGCGCGCGCGGAATATATCATCCCGAATTATTTTCCGATGGGAAGTTTCTAATATAAGATGCAGAATATCGTATAAAATATAAAAACCATGTCATTCGTTTATCTGTAATAAACAGAATGTACGGATTCACGCGTCGTGCGTACTATAAGTATACACCCTCGTGAAAAATGCCAAACTATGAAACACGAAATGCAGTATATATATACATATATTTATATATCGACCGTGAAAGATACAGCACTGGCAACAGCTAACAAATGCGTATATATTAATGAAATACTTGTTGTCATGACCACTGGTCACTCACTGTTCCTTATGTCCATCTGGTTTCAGTGTCCGGTGAGAGAGAGGTGGGCAATGAGGAAGCGCAGGTGGATGGAGTCGTTGGTCAGGATCTGCAGATGAAGTGTCCATTCACACTGAACAACGGCGACGCACTCTACAAGAACAGGTAACGTAATGTAACGTAACGTAACGTAACGTAACGTAACGTAGCGTATTATTATTACACAGTGAAACCACCCCTATAGAACGGTCACTTTCTAGAACGGCCACTCTCGCTGTTTCCTTTGAGCGATTATACACAGATTCGTTAACAGGGTTACACACGGCTAGGTTTTACACTGTTAGTGTTACACTTATAGATTTCACATTTTTACTGTGTGTGTGCGTGCGTGCGTGCGTGCGTGCGTGCGTTAGTGCGTGCGTGCGTGCGTGCGTGCGTGCGTGCGTGCGTGTGTGTGTGAGTGTGTGTGTGTGTGTATAATTTACGGTAAATTAATCAATAAAATAAAATAAAATAAAATAAACTCCTTGATGACTATCTGTCTCCAGTTGGAAGGTGATGGATGAGAGTGGCACGCTACTGACCGTCTACAGCTACTACGAGGACGCCGGAAGTCCGCGCCAAGCGCTGCGCCACCTGGTGAACAGATCCGAAGTCGTCTGCTCAAAGAACGAGTGTGTGCTGACGATTAAGCAGCTACGCGCTGAGGATGAGGGAGCCTACCTGTGTAACATAGAGTTCGACAGAAAGGTCGGCGAAAGCAAAAAGTTCAACCTGTCCGTGAACAGTAAGTAGACTTCGTAGTAGGTGCAGCTTCGTTATAATTATCGAACGAGTTATTTCATTTGTAATTTAAAGCGAGAGGAAATTAAGTAAAAAATGGTAAGTAGTTTGCCATGCCACTTCGTCCCATTCCACTTCGTCCTATTCAACTTCGTCCCGTTTCACTTCGTCCCATTCTACTTCGTCCCATTCCCCTTCGTCCCATTCCACTTCGTCCCATTCCACTTCGTCCCATTCCGGTTCGACCCATTCAACTTCGTCCCGTTTCACTTCGTCCCATTCTACTTCGTCCCATTCCCCTTCGTCCCATTCCACTTCATCCCATCCCACTTCATCTAATTCCACTTTGTCCCATTCCACTTCGTCCTATTCCACTTCGTCCCATTCCACTTCGCCCCATTCGCGGGACATGGGGCCTGCGTAGCTCCGCAGTAATTGGTCTAGCAAAACTGCAGCTTAATTAGACTTAACACATTTTAATTCGTTTATTAACTAGTAAGTTACTTAATAAATTGAAATTCGTTATGGCTTATCATTAATTTAACGCTAGCTGAAGCTAACACTACAGAGCAAAACAATTGGTGATTGCGTGAGGATACTGACATCCGGTAGCAGAAATAAGTAGTTACATAGTAATAAAAACTTCGCAACATAGACGTGATTTAGGAATAAACTGGAATAGGGATAAATTAGGCATTTTATGACCTCCCGTGACGTAGCTATAACGTAGACATCAGCTACATCGAGGTAGAAGTGAGATGGTGAGTATTTCTTTTAACCCGAAGCATGTATTTGCATTTCAGTTGCGACTCAAGATTCGAACAGTGAGAAAAACGAAGGTAACCTGTACGTAGCATCAACGCTGCCGCTGCTGACGCTGGCTGCCATGACAACGGCGTGGTTCTTGTGAGGGAGCGAGACAGCAAAATACACAGAAAGACAGCGAGAGAGAGGCACACATAGAGAGACACGAAGAGAGAGAGAGAGAGGCAGACGGAGAGAGACACAGAGAGGCAGAGAGAGAAGGGGGGAGAGAATGGGAGTGTGTGAAAGAGAGACACGTGTAGAAAGAGAGTGTGTGCGTGAGAGCGAGTGAGAGAGAGACCGAGAGAGAGCGAGAGCAAGAGAGAGTGTGGGGCGAGCCTTTATAGAGAGAGTGTTGTTGAGAGAGAGGCGAGAGATAGAGAGAGAAAGAGGAGAGAGAGAGAGAGAGGAGAGAGAGAGAGAGAGAGAGAGAGAGAGAGAGAGTGAGCGCGAGAGAGAGTGTGTGTGAGAGAGAGGGAGAAATAGAGAAAGAGCGCGCGCGAGAGAGAGAGCGAGAGAGACCGAGAAAGAGAGAGAGAGAGAGAGAGAGAGCAGGAGAGGAGAGAGAGAGAGAGAGAGAGATGGAGAAGCCAGCTGTCTCGTATGATTCCCGTCACGCGCATGCGTACTCTGAGCATGTCGATTTTCTTGGCGATTGTCTACGTGCTGTTTTACTGCTCAAACGCCGCCGCGCCCTCTAGCTGCTGCTACTATCGTGCACGTCTCGGCCGCGGTAGATGGCAGCAGCATCAAACAGTACGCAGTAGATATGGCAAGTAGTTAGTGGCGTCCTCTTAGAAATACATACATATACATATATATATATATAGTTATATATATATATATATATAATTACATAATCTATACATATATGTATGTATTTATATGGGTGTCCTGCTCTTGTATAAGACTGTAGAGGTTGAAGTAAATATCGCAACATAGGTCAGAGTTCATCGGTAGTAGGAAAACCCGAGATGAGACGTTGAGACAGGCCGGACATGTTCAGTGGTTAGATTTGAGCAAAATATCTATCTGTAAATTGAAGAGCTGATAATACAGTGTATTATTAGCTCTTGATAAATTGCATTTCGAAGTTACGGCGTCAGATATTGCGACTGCTGTCATTTCTGTGTTTTCGAGATTGTCGGCGAGCCAATTAAAAAGTAAACTTGCACGTGACTGTCTCGGTCTCGACCAATCATATATATTGCGTAAAGATATAGCAGACGAAAACGATTTCATTTTAACTGCAGTGTTCGCCGTTAGACGTTCAGCACCATAATTAGAAGTCCCGGAATCGCACAGCACATTTAGCTGTGTTGCTTTTTTTCTTATTACAGTTAATGTAACAAACGTATTGGCTGGCGCGCCTAAGAACCACCCTCTTGACTGCTAGACACGTACATGTGTACTAGTACATGTGTTCTATGTGTACTAGTAGTGGGCTGCACCATGTGTAATATAATATTACATACTTCTCATTGGTTCTTCATTGTGCCAATTATTCAGTCAAGGTTTCACTCTGTTGTCGTGTCAGATGACGTATGCTTATGATCAGGAAAGCTGTGTTTGATTCAGGGACAGCGTAGATCAATGAGGGAACTATCCCTACCCGGATTTTGCATGGCTACGGCATTCTCGCATGTATACATATAAATATATATATAGACATTTTAAGATTATTTCAATTTTTAATTAACTTTTCATCTGCCAAAAAGTGCCCTTAGTAAATACTATTGTACGATTGTCGTTGGTAATGTTCGTGTGTGCGTGTGTGTGTGTGTATGTGTGTATATATCTACGTAGCACCTAGAAATAGCAAATTTTGCTCTTCATTCTATATACAGCTTGGATAATATATACTATATAGATATGTGTAGCGGACGTGTATGTGTTACTTTGTAAATTTCCTTCAATACGATGTGACATTTTCTCTCGGTGTGGGACACGCGTGTGTGGGTTCGCATTGTGTAGCATGTCTTCACATTGAGTATCGCGTTTTTGCATTGTGTAGCATATTTTCACTTTGGATAGCATGTTTTCACATTGTCTAGCACATTATCACAATGTGTAGCATGTATTTCACTTTGCGTCGCACGTTTTCACATCTGTGGTTAGCCATCAGTGATTAACATTTAATTACCAATCCGACAGTACTTATGAACTCGACATCAGCGGCAGTTTAAACAATCATAGACCGTACCCGACCATTTAGGTACCACGCCATGCTATGAACTCGATGTGCGATTTATAGCTGCCATGCGCTATCACATGCTACTGGTTGCTCCGGTGGTTCTGTAACATGCCTGTTTGCGATTGGGCCCACGGTTTACATTTTGATGTAGGTAGTTTGAGGAAAGAACAATAAATTGCGCCCTAGTTGCTTTATAATCTGAGGCTATCGTAAAATGGCGTTGGATTATAGAAATTTCTAGGGCCCAATATATTGGTCTAGTGTGAGGATATGTTGTTACGGTAACATCTGTGTACATAATGTTCACAGTGATTCGGATATGGCAACTCACGTGACACCTACGCATTTTGCGTATGTACGACAGCGCATGCGCGCTCGTATATGTAGATGACGTCACCGGTGACACGAGGGCTATAATATTATAACGAGTGGCCTATTTTATTAGCAGTGTTAACATGTAATGTAGGGTTTTATGAAATCATGATCAACGTGGAAAGATACCGGCTGCATTTAGCAACGTACGATTGTGCTGCCATCTAGTGCACACATGTGAGATATTCATACCCGCGATCGACACCCACATTTCACCAACTGATAGTCTAGTCTGTCCACTCGTCTTCGAGGACACGACTAAACTCCGTCTCATTGTTGACAGTGTAAAACTTGACCTCTCACCTGATAATGCTTACGTCATGACCTCTCACCTGATAATTCTTACGTCATGACCCCTCACCTGATAATGCTTACGTCATGACCCCTCACCTGATAATGCTTACGTCATGACCTCTCACCTGATAATGCTTACGTCATGACCTCTCACCTGATAATGCTTACGTCATGACCGCTCACCTGATAATGCTTACGTCATGACCTCTAATCACTTACCTGGGCCCCGTTGTCAGAAACAACTTTTTCTCATAGACCGTTAACAGAAACATGGCAAAGTTACGAGTTTCTTATATGCAGTGTATAAAGGTCCGATCTACGTGAAGAAGTTCATGCTAAGACTCTTGTATTCCTGTGCTCCTTGGTGTTGAAAGGCACTGCGCATGCGTTAACCACCACTTATCCTGCTTATGTTATCAGATGCACATGATATCAAATCACTGAATTCACGTTGGTATCATGTACTACTGACGTTCTATATGACGTCATGTGTAACGTCATGTGTAACGTGGTAGTTCATAGCATTTGTTAACTGGACATCGGTGGTGGGTATTTCCGCAACTACGGGGTGAAAGTGGTAATACTCACAGGCACTTTAGAGCGTTTCAATAAAATATAATGCTAAATAAATAAGAAATCTATTTACTACCAAAGTCTCTTTCGCCTATTATTGCCGACAATTTCCTGTAAATTCCGTGCAAATGCTCCTCTGCAACACACATGTCCACCGCATTCTATATTTATGTGTCAGTGTGTGTCAGGGTGCGGCCGCGTGCGCGCAGTGGACATGTGTGTTGCAGAGGAGCATTTGCACGGAATTTACAGGAAATTGTCGGCAATAATAGGCGAAAGAGACTTTGGTAGTAAATAGATTTTGTATTTATTTAGCATTATATTTTATTGAAACGCTCCAAGTGCCTGTGGTAAGACTAGTTGTCGCATCTCTTGCCGTGTGATAGATTTCTGGATGGTTATGATGTTATGTGTTGTAATCGGGGTGCATGCAATCTTTCACTGTCCACTCGTCCTATGTGTTTTTCCCATAGAGTGAAGCGAAATTTACGAAAACACGTATGTAATATATAGAATCTTGTAACATTAGCGCATGCGATGTAGTAGATGATATAGTAGTTTTATAGTAGCTGTTATAGTGCATCTATATCTAGTATCTATATACCGCATAGTGAGTGCATTGCGAGTGATTTCGTGCAGTATTTCAGTATTTACAATGGATGCTGCTCTCACTAAAATACCGAACTACTTTTATGTGATTATTATGACTAGTGTAATCAGCTTTTACCACGTCTCGTGTTACACAACGTATGCGCTACTATTCCGGGCTAGTTTTACTCATTCAACTAGTGGCATGACAACCTAGAGACGTAGAGTTGTAGTTTGGAAAGAGACAGAAAGAGAGACAGAACAACAGCGAGTACTAAGCTTAGCTGTTAGCAGCAGACGTGTATGAATGGTACGTAAACGCTAGACCTGGCCAAGCGGTGATGTTCGGGTAGAGTACGCTACAAGTCAACCCAACAAGACATAATCCAGGGGCACATTAGCCCACCCACCCCTGCCCCACCGACCACCTAAGCCTGACCCTACTATAACGCTGAAAAATAACGCTGCAGTTGTATTCTATATACTGGTCGTGACGTATGGCGTAGTCTACCCAGGTTTTGATCCGTGGCTTTATCTGGAGAATGTGAATTAGAAATTCGAAGCAGAACATGGTTTACATGTTCATGTTCACGTGCACGTGATTCGGCGTTCTATCAATCAGAATACTAACGCGTGATGCTAGCGACGTTCCCCTATCTGTAATCATAACTAACTAATACTAATAATTATTAATATTATTATTATTATTATAAATAGTGGCATTTCGCTTATCACATGATAGCGATGTTACTGATAGAACGCTAGAATCGCGTGGTATCGTCTTCTCCTGCTGCTGTTTTGAGCTGGTTTAGTCGTAGCTCTAGTAACTATAGCCCGCGTACGGTTGCCGGTGGCCAGCGGCACCCGTACGCGGGCTATAGTTACTAGAGCTAGTTTAGTCGTGGCTCTAGTTACGAGTAAGTATTCGCTTCAGTAAAAGATTACTTCTCCAGTGATTTTACAGATGCAGTAGCGAAGGATATCGTAACTAGACGCTAGTCACTGAACACCGTTTCTGTGTTCGTTAAGGAAATGACGTACTTCGTAAATGTTCCCTACATCACCTGCGTGTCATGATCTTTCTACGGTCAGATCCATGTCGTGTTTGTAAATCGACGTTCAGTATTTTTACGAAGTGGTTTCTTGCCAGCTAGAATATTGTAGGAGCGTCTACTGGGTGTTTTAGCTTGGGTTTGTTGTCACACGGTGGCGCCACCCGTCATACGGCGACCGCGATAGTTGGATAGTGCTGTAAGTCGATTGTTAATTGTGTGAACGTGTATGCAAATGGTGCTTAAACATTAACTGACCGAATGTAGAGGTGTGACCTTCTTCTGATCTATACTCACATTTTATGATCAAAACATTTTAATATTTAATTATAAAAAATATAAAAATGGAGTAAACACATTTTCAGTAGAATTTTCGTGCTCTTGTGCTTTTCTCTGCGTCCTTGTCTAAACGAACACCACAAACGGACAAAAATGTCAAATCTTTGAAATAATAGTTATATTTTTCCCTTTATGTTGAGGGTCAACCATGACATTGCATAGTCGGCATACAAGCTAAAAGCATACAAGTCTGAAACATTTAAACTAAAAAAAATCCCACAGAATCCGACGCCGTGGAATCAAGAGTGAACAATTAAGAGCTACGTCATCGAAAATACCACGTGACATCGCGCATCGTAAAATCGTTTAAAATCCCCCCTCCAGGTGGCTCTGCGCTCGCTCGCTACACACGCGCACGCTCTTTGAGATTCAGAAGCACACACTTCTGTTGTTACGTTACATGTTACGTTACACCAATGTCCCATCGCATACAATCGCACACACACACATCAAACTACAAACCGTTACTATGAACTTTACACCCAACGTGGTCTCGTTACGCTATATATATATATATATATATATATATCTAGGTACAGCACCGCACAGCATGCTACGTGCTGTGACCAGCACACAGTGTGACCAGACATACATGTCATGCTCAGCTGTAAGTGATACATATACATATTATGTGGTGCTGTAAGTAGATACGATAATGTAACGCTGTGAGGTTACGTTTAGCGTAGCAACGCTGTAAGATGGAAAAGAAGCAAAGCGTGTGCTCGAATCGACACAGTTCACATCACGTGAACATCCACGCCACCACCACAGGAGAAGCCACCAGTGGCGACCTCGCGCGGCACATATCTTCAACGTCCGAGGTTCCGTTAGATTACCAGATTATTTTCATTTTATCTGAAGTGAAATAGGGCCAAAAATATGTGGAACGTTTTCAGTGTATATAATCACCATTACTATGTTACGCAGGGAACGCACACATTAAGTAAGTATTATCTGATGAGAAGAAGCTGGATGACAAAGTGCATGTACATGACTACATACACAGTACCTGTCACGCATGCGCAGGTGACGGGCGGGATCGTACCGACGTTGAACCACGCCCTCCAGCAGGTGGCGCGCACGTCGCCACGGTTTGCCACAAGTATACAGACACGCGTACACGGAAAACACGCTATACAATCTACGTCACTAAAACTAACATGGCGGCCGGCAATCAGCCGCAGATGGAGGGTGCTGCCGCTGAGCGGCTGCGGCCGGATACTATGTCGCTACTACTATGTTACAACCGAGATTGACGGTCATGAGCATTAAAATGTACATCGCTTTCACGGGCATGCGCACAATGACAGGAAGAACACGTCCGCAATCCAACTAGTCTTCGCCTCGCCGCAGCGTGCTTACAGCGCCACTAGCGACCATTCAAGCGAGGACCGACTTGCGCAGACAACCCGCTAGTATTTCACTACCGGTACGTTTACGGTCACGTGATTACACGCGCGCGACGCGCCAATCAACGACAGGTACAGCGACGCGATCTCGTGCGATTGGTCAACTCAATCGCACACGTAGATTTAAGAAATCTCGCTCACGGCGAAGAAAAGATACCAGGGCCACGTCATCAGAAACACCAGGAAACGTCATGAATACGAATTGTAACCCCCAAAAACTTCACGCAACATTCACGACTAAAGTTCACATATGTTTACTATTTTTATGACATCGTGACTATTTATGATGTTTTTGGCAATGCCCCCCCCCTCTTCATTACGATGAGTCACCACTAGCCATCAGATGATTGAATAATTTCATCGGATCTCTATAGTTACATGCTAATAAAGTGTATCTCAGTTAGATCAAGAGTAGATAATAAAACATTATCTACTCTTTATTAAGAGTAGATTTTTAACTAAGTTTGTTATCTACTCTTGGTTTGATCCAAATTAACTTCAAAATAACTTACACTGACGAGAAACTTTCGTCCATCTCCTGAGGAAGTCTATCGGAGAGACGGACGAAAATTTCTCGTCAGGGTAAGTTATTTTGAACTTAATTTGGATCTGATAACTGAGATCAACTTTATTAGCCCCACTAGCCATCGTCCCTGCTGCGGCTTGCAGCAGACGATGGGGGGTGACCCAGCAGACGCTCGATGACCCCACACGGCCAGCGGTCAGGGAGTCGACCACAGCCCACCGGGGCATACGACTGCCTCTGGCAACGATGTATGCCGACTGTAGCACGAGGCACGCAGGTAGGAAAGAAGAGTAAAGGTCACAGATGATGATGCCGGCGCACGCGAACTCGCTAGGCTAAGCACTGCGAACACCAGCGACATCTATTATGACGAAGAAGTCAAAAGAGAACAGCAAGCATGGCGACACGTAGAGAACATACGTGGTGAACACACGAGAGGAACAACTGTAGTGCACAAGCGTAGTAAAGTTCGTAGGCGTAGAACAGGCATAGTGAACACACGTATGGAACAAGCACAGCGAATACACATAATGAACACACACGCGTGGTGAACACACACGCATGGTGAACACGCATGGTGAACACACACGCATGGTGAACACGCATGGTGAACACACACACATGGTGAACGCAAACATGAAATACGCAATGAACCATGCAGTGAACAACGGGTAACACCGAACACTTGGTGAACAGCGTATACGTTCACACGTTCGCCACCCCACTGCGATCTCACACCTACAAACAATCAGTACAGCGAGAGACTCATCGCACAGAACACACAGAAACGCGCTCACGAGCAAGAAAACAGTCGACGCTACCGCAATCACATCGCAAGGGGGCGCAAGTGCAGCGTCGATATAAACATCAGAACAGTCATGCTACGAACTTCAAACTTCGTCCGCACTTCTCTATAAAAAAAAATCTCACAGTTTCTCGCGAGAAAGAAAACCGCGCGCACGTCGCCCCGCCATCTTTAGATGCGCGTTGCGAGCGCCATCTACACCAAACGTCACGAGCACGCAATAAAATCGTTGATTCCGCTCCGATTAAAACCTAGAGGTAGAAAAACGTGCAGTTTTCTTTTGTAACACATATTGCGAGAGAAGACAAGACTGAAAACGCGTGCGCAACATGCGAGTATTTACAGTTTTGGCAAGTCGAGGGGCCAGAGAGAACAACGACATTGATGGCACAGGGTTTACGGCTATATAATTATATAACAAGCTAGCACCCCATTAGTATACAGACGCCGAAGTCAACGGCGCCATGAATCCGCGACTCGCATTAAAACCTTAAAATCTTCACACCAGAGGGCGACACCGTCCACTAGGCTGCGTGAAAGCCGGAAACGACGCATCCTGAATACACGATTACCGCCATGAAAACTTTCAAACCTCCACACTGGAGGGCGCCACCATCCACCAGTGCTAGGTGGATGGATGGATGCGGGCGGGGACTGTACGCGTCGCGCACAGCCTCAGGTAAAGTTGAGAGTACGCGCAGACACAGAGAAAGAGTGGGTGTGGTTGGTAATGAACCAGTGGTTGCTGGCCGCCGCTGCCGCATCCTGTATGCATCATAACAACGTGGCTGGATACACCATGAAGTCAATACCAGAATAAATAAGCATGAACTCCTTACTCTCCTAAACAACTCTCATAAACTCCTACTCTTCTCCTTCCTCACTCTCCCTTCTACATCCTCTTCTCTCCTTGCCTCTTCTCTCCTTGCCTCTCCTCTCCTTTCTTCTTTTCTGATTTCCTCCTTCTTTTCTCCTTTTCCTTTATCTCCTGTCCGCCTCTTAGTTTTTCTCACTTTTCCTCTTACCTCCCCTCTCACTTCTCACACCTCTCCTCTCACACTGTCTCTCTTCTACGTAATTTTCCCCCTCTCGTCTCGCTCTCATTCTCTTTCTTACTGCTATTCCCCGTTTCACATCCAACACTATTGTCCAAGAGCTAGTAATGTGTCAGCCTCTCATTATTATGAAAACCCTGATGTTTCTGGACGATTCGTTTGGCGACAGACCGCTAACTGACGCCCCCTGGTGGCGAGGGCAGCACAAACGTGGATATGGGATGCCTAGAAAAAATTTCCTATTGCATTAACCAAGAGTTGGTTGATGATGTCATCATCATCATCGTTGTTGTCATCACTATCGTCGTCGTCGTCGTCATCGTCATCATCATCGTCATCATCATCATCATCATCATTATCCCCATCCTTGTCGTCACCACTTTATCGTGACACCATCACCTTGCCCTGGTGGCGACCCCTAGAAAGACGTCTTAAGGAAGACGACCTGTGGTGTTCGGCACAGGGGACCCACGCCCCCGCCTCCACCCTCCCCTCCCCCCCTCCCCATGCCACGCTCGATTCCCCTTCTCCACCTCCCACTCCTCACTCTCACGCGAGCAGCGCAAACGTGAGCGCTGCCACCAGGGCGGCGCTGCCTGCCACGGCCGCCGCGCCGCCGCCAGGGCCGTCGTCGACGCTCTGTCCGTGTAGTGGCACGTCTGTCGCCGGCATGGCGTCCGTCTTGTGTGTCAGCTCGCGGCTGTAGGCGCCCATGCCTACAGGGTTTACAGCTGCGACACGGAAGCGATAGAGCGTGTCCGCCTGCAGGCCATCAACGATGATGGGAGCCTCTGTAACAATACAGAACACGCGCTGTAACACCTGCTACTACACTACTACACTGCTACACTGCTACACTGCCATAGCTGCCACTACCACTACCACTACTGATAATAGTACTGTTACAGCTACAATAGTTGTACGTGCATACTATTATTCACTCATGCTGACATGGTGAAAAGACTCCACCTGTTCACCTCCTATTGCCATGTGTTGCCATGTAAACGGCACCGTGTGACTATTGAGATTAGGATCCCTACTGTTGTACAAATAATGAGATTATGGATTAGCGCTCACGTGCATATAGATAGTGAGGGATTAACTCGTGTGTAACTCGGGTGTGTTTACATGGTGAGCAGTAGCACTGGTGTGTGTGTGTGAGAGGATGAAGGGTTATCACTTTATCTATAAAGGGTTCTTACTGAATTACTGGTGCATACTAGCACCCCTTTACGCAGAGGGCAATGTCCCCTACACGCACGCACGCACGCACGCACGCACGCACGCACGCACGCACGCAGATATACACGAACACGTGCACGCACACAAGCATACACGCACACATACACCACCACACGCATGCACACACGAACACATGCACGCACACATACACCAACACACGCATGCACACACGAACACATGCACGCACACACGCGCACAAACGTACACAAACACATGCACGCACCCACGCGCACAAACGTACACGAACACATACACGCACGCACCAACGCAAGCGTACACGAACACACGCACACAAGCATACACGCACACATACACCAACACACGCACGCACACACGCGCACAAACATACACGAACACATGCACGCACGCACCAACGCAAGCGTACACGAACACACACACACGAACACGAACACACACACACGAACACGAACACACACACACGAACACGAACACACATACACGAACACACGCAGGCATGCACATATGCCTGATATAAAGAGAGTATGTATTAGTGTGTAAACTATCAGCCGTACTATCGAGGGGACCAGCCAAGTATATTGAGCCCAGTATATTCCCGATATAAAAACACCATTGGCATATACAATTACAGACGAATGGAGCGAACACACCAAGTATATTGAAGGCTGTATCCCGCCTATACCTCTCTAAAATTAAAGTGTGTGTGCATGCGTGCAAGTGCGAGTGCGTGTGTGCGCGTGCGCGTGCGTGTGTGTGAGTGCGCGCGTGTGTGCGCGTGCGTGCGTGCGTGCGTGCGTGCGTCAACCAGTGTACGTGCCTGCATACGTTTGTGAGTATGTGTGCGTGCGTGAGTACATACGTGTGCGCGCACCCTCCCAAGCACGGAGTATCGTCGCAGCAGCAGCAACCTACCGAGATCGTACTGGCGTTTCTGTGCGTCCTCCCACTGCGCATCGTCCTTCACCCACTCCACGGTGAAGGCAGCCACGGACAGTGTACCGCTGTCTGAAGGCTCCTCTACACGCAGACTGACGCTGGTCGGTGTAACCTCATCCTCCATGATGTCTACAGAGTCCGGCTCCCCGGGAACGACTGCAGAGAAAGACACCATCATCATCATCATCATCATCATCACCAGCAGCAGCATCATCATCATCATTATCATTATCATCATCATCATCATCATCATCATCATCATCATCAGCAGCAGCAGCAGCAGCGGCATCATCATCATCATCATCATCATCATCAACAACAACAACAATACCATCATCAGCATCAGCTTCTTCTTCTTCTTCTTCCCCCTCTTCCTCCCTCCCTCCCTCCTCCTTAATTAGCCATCATCTGCTTTCTTAATTACTTCTCATCTGCTTCCTTAATTACTCATCGCCTCATGACTATTCCTTCCTATTTACTTATTCACCACTCTCTCCTTGGCACTGTCATCTTTATCACCCTCCTTCTTACTGTTCCTTCCTATTTACTTATTCACTACTCTCCTTAGCACTGTCATCTTAATCACCCTCCTTGCATTTTTTTCTAACATTTTTCTTAATCACTGTTCCTTAGCCTCTCATTATTGTTCACGCTCATGCTGACTATTTATCCCCACCATCTTTGCTACTGCTCACTGGCCTCCTGATAACATTATGATTCATTTATAATCTTACCAATTAGTTTGTTATTATAAATCTATGTAATTAATTTATCCCTTAGAGTTTGACAAAATAATTTGCTTGGAAAACTCGAGCAATCTTCATTCAGTTTGACAAAGACAACTTGACCAGTTCTCAAAACAATAAATGAAATGACTATATAAAGTTAATCTAATTCATATATTATTAAACAAATTATATAATTAATTAATTTCAATATGATTGCTCAAATATATATATATATACTTAATTAATTCATATATTATATAAAATAACAGTATTTTTAATTATCACTCATTTATTTACATAACATTACGCTAATAATTATATTAATTCATTATCCTATTAACTGATATTAACTGATCCTAAAATCCTATTAACTAATTAATTGGATTGATTGATATACTGCGTGGATTTGCAGGCTATACTTACAGGCCTGTTCGATCATGAAGCTGCGCGAGGCATCACCGTAAGCGTTCCTAGCGATGCACCGGTAGTCACCGAAGTCTTCCTGATCATTAATGGTCACCTACACACAGACACAGACACAGGAAGCATGAAGCCAGGTAGTCACATTAAATAGCAGCCAGTGTGTCATGCTTAGTGATCGTGTCACGATCAAAATACCCAGCCCGGAGGACGGCGAACCCGGACTAGTATTGCCTTGTAAGGAACAAAATGTTCCCGACTCAAGGAGGCAACATCATGCCAACCTTGGTCGATGAAAAAGAAAAGAAAAAAGAAGTGTGTCAGCAATGACAACGATGAAAAACGCGATTAGGGTGTCGTTAGGATAGTATGCGAAGAGGAAGAGAGTGAAGATGGGAAGAGAGAGGGAGACAGAGAGCAAGAGAGCG